TTGTTGCTGATTCGTATATTTCAAGAGTGGATAAAATATGGTTCTCCAAAAGATATTTATTCTGTCCCACCACAGCGATGTTGTTACAGTCTTTTCAATGTATCATACGTACTACAGAAAGTGTAATTATAAATAATAAATACAAAACATACAAATTTATATTTTAAAGTAAATATAAATTTTAGGGGAGTGTGGGATGGTAATTCACTGTAGTGTCTGACTACGTTCTGAGCGACTGGGTTCGATCCCCAACAGGGCCAACCGATTTTTCTTCTGGTTTCTGCGTCCAGATCGGTTCTGGGGCCCACGCAGCCTTCTATCTAATGGGTACCGGGGGTCTTTTCCCATTGGGTAACGCGTGGCCGGGGCGTGACGCTGACCACTCACCCCTGTCTACTGCCCCCAAAACGTCTCCATGTCTTGTAGTGGGACACATTTACTTTATACGTTTCAGGGTTGAGGATAGAGGCATTATGTTCCGAAACGTTGGTATCTACGTATAAGTTTACACAGCACTACAACACAAAATATTAATATCGACATTTTATCGCCTTGAGAACCTCAGATGTCATGCAGTTATAATTCAAATTTAGATTATTTAATTTGAATTAAGATAATATTGTATGAAGCTATACGAAATAGAAGGATATAAGATTATTATAAATCTCTCTTGCTGTTTTGTAGAAATTCCTTGAACACCGTCACTATTATTATAATTTCTTAAAACTAACTACGTATATGTTGATGTTGTTGGCGCCTTGTAGACCTGTAGGTAGATTCCGACGTTTCGGATAAATATACCGTCACCGTTTTCAAGGCTGTAGGCAAGTAGGATCTTTTATCTATGAGAGTACACGGCGCCAAAAGCCAGAAAATCATCCTCACCACCTTGAACATTTCAAATATCATCACACTTATATTTTCTTTAATTCAGGCTTCGTTGGTCCACTATATCATGATCTGTTTCCCCTTGGGTTGGTTGCTCCATTAAACAATTCACTGAATAGATCTGTTTAGTTTGTGATCTGATCTATGGACCCTCAGACGAGTTTCTCATGGCTATGACTGGAAGGCTTTTAATGGTAATTGCCGGAGTTGCTCTGCCAACACTATAGATTTTGCCAGTTACAATGAAGCTTTATCTGCGTTGCGATATCACATAATTACTTTAATGCATAGTTACTATAAGTGTGATGTATTGTGGGCATTCAAATTACAGAAACCATCTCTCAGTCCCACGACCATAAGTTTTCCACGAGAAATATGTAGTCTTACAGGTTCATAGGGATTTTTAAACTACTCTGTTCTCGAACAAAATGTGATACAGACTTCGGAAAAATGTGTGTTTAAAAGCAGAAATAAAGTGCAAGGAAGTTCTGTTCAGGCCTATTATTTTCGCAATAAATCTACCCCTGAAAGATACCGAATGTAGCAAACTTTTCGAAAAAAAGAAGGTATTTTCAATTGTCATGAGCCGCTAATACCCCGGCGTACGGTTGCCTGAGGATTTTCAGTTTGTGAAATATAATTTCCAACAGTCTCGCATTGTTTAGAGCCATTTAAATGGAATAGGTGTTTTGGTCTGGTTCCCTGAAAGGAAGCAGACTGTAAATACAATACATACTTGTAATCTGCATTGTAGTGATTATACATCGTGCCTCCATTATTATGGACAGAAAGTTTAAAACAAAGTTAACAGAAATTTCCTAACACCCGTGAAACACACGTACCGTAGATCGCGTTTTATTGGTGTGTAGTTTCGAGAACATACTTTGTCTGTCTTGTACTTGCGCTGTATTATATATGCAGTCTCTGTCAGTAGATGGCAGTTTTGTAACTTTCGGTAATATGTATTTGTTTTTATTAAGCTTATCATCCTACTTTGTATCCTTGTGTCATTCTTATTGTTTTTGAAGTAGGATTTTAGACTCACAAATCTAGTTTCATCATCTGTCGTCAATGAATGCGTCTTCCAGTTCCTTTCTGCGACGACTTGTATTGCATTTGTTAATAGTCTCGGGATCGATTCCCGGCGGTGCCCGAATTTATAACTTGTGTTGGGCAAGGCCGTGGTATAGGCAACACGGAGTTTTCCTCCGGGGGCTTCCCCGGTTTCTCCGTGGCATCCCAACAATTACTCCATTCACACACAGAAGAAGGCAATGGCAAACCACTTCTGGATCATCTGCCAAGAACGTTTATGAACAGGTCCCAGTCCGAGAAAAGGATGGAAGGATCCTGTTCATATGGACCTGTCGTCAGACAGAACACTAAATAAATAACAAATCTATTTCATTGCTTTCTTCCTACAACTTTTTTCTTTGGTTTTGATGATAATCAATACTTTCCACTACTTTATAGAATCTTTCTGTCTCCATATCTTCCTGGTGGTTCCTAAAAGGCCGTACTAAGATAATAATATTGCATAAAGCTGTCTGTCTCCTGTTGTTATGTCACTATTCGACCATATAGATTTAATGCATAAAGCGATCTAGTTAATATGTACAAGACTTTTTTACCGTGTGGAGGCACGGTGATAAATAGTATAAATTATGTTTCGTGGCATATCCTTTCATATCAGAACATGAATTGCATGATGTGATATAACCATTTTCGTCTAATGGACGAACCCAGACTACAAGTCAGGCGTTGGGCTGGGGGTCCACTAGGGTGCTGGGGTGAGGCTGTAACGTAATTAACGAGGAAGCTAGGCCTGTCTGAGGAAGAAGTAGGAAACGGACAGGAACCCATAAAGAGAGAAAGCTTCGTTAAAGAAGATGAAGAATTTAATGATGCCACTGGCATATGATACGTGGACAGATGTAGTCGTCCTGAAAGCCCACAACTTACTTATCCATGGCCTGTGGCAGAAAGTCGACTGCAGTCATCCAGACCCTCATAATATAGGTTACCACAGCGTTAGTTTAATTACGTGTAGCTGCTTTTGATTTAAGGAATACTAATTACATAGTGTTTTTATGGTTAATATAATGGCAGCTTGTAGACATCCTTACAAGTGCTTTAGTATGTAGTTAATTTTACAATTGTGTTGAAGTTTGTTTCTTGGAAACTGTTGAGAGTGCAGTGTTTATTTTATTTACTACGATATACAACATAACGATATACATACACACACTGTCTAGGTTTCAGCTTCACTTCTAACGTAATTTGCCCTTTCTGTCCGTAACATAACTCATATGATCAGAGTAGCTCATACGTCTGTATCAGAACGGATTGTACTTCATTTGAGTCTCGACTGAGGTAATTTTCATGTTCTATCTCCCAAGATTATTGCTGGAATTATATGTAGGCATGGCGACTTTTCTACCATGTGTCATTGGCTGATATTTATTTTCGCGGTTTACGTGGGTCCTCTAGGTCAGTGGTATTCAACCTTTTTTGTTCGCGTACCCCCAGATATAATTTCTCTTCAACTTTGTACCCCCAAAGTTGTTGGTGTATAATTCAAGTTATACATAGTATATAATCTACACCTAAAATAAATTACATTACTGATTATTCAGTGTTTATCATAAAATAATATATATTTTTTTAAATCTCACGTACCCCCTAAGATGTCTTCGCGTATCCCCGGGGGTATGCGTACCCCAGGTTGAAACCACTGCTCTAGGTCAAATTTGGAATACTGCTTTAAAGATTCCACAAAATATGCGTTGTCATGAATCATCCGATATTGCCAAGTCTCTTGAGGCAAACTTCGGCAGTTACTATAAATGCCATCTGATTTCACGTATAACATAGCTAGGTGGAATGACGGGATGATGTTTCGTGGACTGAGAGTATATTTAAAATATGACTTTAATGAACCTCAATTTATTTCTGCGTGTTCGTTGATTTGAACTGATTCTTTCCGATTGTTCTTCTTCCATCTTTATTCTTTCCCCCTTTCGATTATCCTCTGTTTTCTGCTTCAGTACTTTTTATAACTCATTTTTCTTCTGTTGATTTTCTCCTTTCTTCTGGTTTTGCAGTAAGAATCGTTAGTGTACTTTCTTTTACTCTGTTTGTACCCAACGAAGAATACGACTCTTACAGTCTGGGGGGGGGGGGGGAGAGAGAACAAAAAGTAGTATTAAATTCCTTTCTTTTAGCTTAACGTAAGACTTTGAAATTTACATTCATTTTTCTCTGTTTTTAATTAAGTCGCATTAATGTGAGTCCGCTGTGCATCCTACTACTTAATACTGATCTGCATCTGTCTTGGATGACTTAAGCTTGTTCATTAAGCTATCGCCCTTAAGAGCTGACAAAGAAATATGTGACAATCATTCTTAAGAAAACAAAAGACCAAACACGCAGTGACCTACCCCTGTATTCTGCAATAAGCTTGCCTGTTCGTGTCAGAGAAGACGCATTTCGAGGCCAAAACTAAAGTTTACGGCAGTCATCATGAAATTGCATGATTCAAGTCCAGGGAGGGAATTTG